AGTCTGTCTCCAGCCACTCTGTGACCCCCTACAGGATAAGCTGTATAGATAATGGATGGATGTAGAGCATGCTGCTCAGGAATAATGCACTCTGAGATTCAATGGCAGGTTCTCTTTAACCACAGTGAGTGTAATGATGAGCCAGCCATTTGTCAGTCAGAGTTTGACTGACACATCACCTCTGTATCACTTTCACCCTCATTGCGTTTTCCATGGTGATTAGTCAGACCGATCTGTGAAAGTTGCTGCTATTTTCCTGAACAGCCCTACATCTCCCCTGTTGTTTTACACACCTACAGCATGCAGCACTGAGTGGGAGGGAGCAGCAGCAGCACAGAGTGTGTTGATTCACTGAAAGAGGAGTAATAAAGCTGTCACAGTAATGTATGCAGTTGATATGTGATTCAGAGGTGGGGCCCCAGTAACAGCCCATGTTTCCCCACTGGAGGAAATCAGCTGGGGATACTGTATATGAGGTGATATTTTGAAGAAAGCTTTATTCTTCTCTTTCCTCACACGCTCTGGTCACAGCTAAACCCCTCACCTCACCCTCTACTACAAGGACATGGATAGTACAGGTATATTTGAAACAAATATGCATCCAAATGGGAAAGCCCACCCTGGAACTATTACTTTAAAGTGAGCAGTATAGTACAAAAAAGTAGCAGGCATGAATCTAAGCAGGGTAGGATCACAGTAATCTCTCCCTCCCCCCCTGAAGTCCACCCTGAAAAGAGCAGCACAGAAGGAGATTGCCTCTGGAAAAGAACTCTGCGTGTTGCTCCTTCTGCTTCATCTATACATTATTCATATATCAATACTACCGGCAATGCAGAGCAGCTTTGGTGTGAGGCTGGGAGGGAGGAGTGGGGATGCAGAGAGAGCATGAAGGAGACATGGATGTGCCTGGATGGATGGGAGGTGGGAAACAAGAGCAGGGCAGTGCACTCATGCTCTGCAGTCTGGTGAGAGGCTCATTTTTCTTGAGTTGGCTGCCCTCATACAGGCTGGGTTATTATAGCAACACATTTAGCCCCACTCCCCCTGAGTCAGGCGGAGAACAAGAGAAACTGGAGGAGGAGGGCACTCTACAATTGCTTATTGTGGTTATGATATCCCAAGGCACTGCACAAGTATTTGTTGATGAGCTCTTGTTCTTTTCCCATCACTTCTTCCATCTAATCTTATTTCTTATTATCTTTTCAATCCCCTCTTCCTTGCTTCCTTTGTTCTATTCTCTTTCTTCTCTTTCATTTTCTTCCTGTCTTTCTCCATTACTTATTTTCTCTGTTTGCCACATCTTTTCTTCCTTTACTTCTCTTCTTTGAATCCTGTTTCCTTCATTTCCTTCTTCCATTCCCTTTAACTTGTATATACTGTATGTACATATTTATCAGTGGATGATAATTTGTCTTCTGTTTTTTATTCTGATTAATTTGGTGTACATCGAAGGCTGCTGAGCTGGAGTCAAATTCCTTGTATTTTAATATACTTGGCAATAAAATTCATGATTGATGATTGATTTACTTCCTGTCTTTCCTTTTTTAACTTTATATTTCCTCATAGATTTCTTTCATTCTTTCTTCCCTTCCTTTTCCCAGTCTTCCTGCAGTTCTTACTTTCCTTCCTTTACTACTTTTTCTTCATCCTGTTTTCCTTTTCATTACCCTTTCATTCTTCTCTTTCTTATTTTATTTTGCCCTTCCTTTTATTTCTCTTCTTCCCATTATTTTGTTTTCCCTACCTTCCTCTTTTTTCCTTTCTATACCATACTTGTTGAACCACTGCACCAAGAAGCAAACAAATACCAGAGAAAATGTAACCAAAACTAAAAAAGGGTTGGATACTATCCATTTATTTATATTTCCCTCTCTGTGCAAATATTTACTTTGTTTCTGATGAGTGAAACATCAAACATGTAACTGCATCCATGAACACCCATCACTGAGGGTAACTGCTGACAGACCACTGAAAAGTCAGAGTCTGTTTCCTGTGATGACATATCATTGAAGATGCTACACACACACACACACACACTCACCTGTCTCGCTTGTGTTTTTTCCCACTCTTTTTCTTCTTCTCTCGGCGTGTGGGTGAGGAGCTACCAAACCTATTGATGGAGAGAGGGAGGAAATGTGCATGCCATGACATGCTGACCTTGTCAAAAAAATGGAAGATGAGACAATGCTTTTCTCATCACTCCCTATAGACTCCCCATCTCTTGCAGTATCTGATGGCTCTTTCACAGGATTCACACCAAAATAATTAGAATTCAGTATCACAAAACCACAGTGTAATTATTCTGTCAGTGAGGCCAGAAAAAAGGAGATAAATCAAACCACTTCATCAGTGGGAGCCATTTTCACTCACCGACTCCTTCGGCGGCCAGATTTCTTCTTCTTCCTTTTCTTTGGACGAGGGGATGGAGAGCTGCTTGATTTCCTCTTCACTCTAAATTGGCCACACAAATGGAGAAGGAGAGTGAAAAAGGGAGAAATAATTTACAAGTGACTGTTATTATATTCATTTTCAGAAAGAATATGTTTCTGATTATAGTTATTTGCTGCTGTGCTGATAACAAGGCGATAAGGGCCTATTTTCTCAATTAATTCTTTCATAACACAATACTCATGCAATATACACTCAGTGTTGATTCAACTGTGTGCTTATTTTGGAGGTTGCAGTTTGTGCCTCTGTTGAACTGTACTGCATTATACTGAGAGCTGTTTCTGTTATTTAGCCTAGCCTCACCAATATAAATTGGGTAAACAAAATAGTAGTATAACACAATACAATTCAACTGCAACACAAACTACAGCCTCCAAAATGATCATATACCTGAATCGATACCTCTCTAAAACAGTCTGAACAGGAAGTGAACATTATCACCTTCATGAAGGAGGATTTATTGCAAAACTATTGGATTAGACTGTGTTTGTTTCAACTGGGTGTGTCTAATAAACTGCCAGCTGAGTGTATTTTACCATAGAAACAGGAAATCACTTTGAAACAATTATATTAAATAATTTCTGCAAATACATATGGTCTAAATGACCATCTACATTATGGTTTAATACTGAATGTTTATCTCCAGGTTTGTCTCCTAGGTCTGGGGCAGTGTGAGTGCTCAGATCAGTTTTATGTTTATGGATATTAAAGGAAACAGACAGAGGCCATGTGAAGGAGATAAAAGATGGATGGCTTATTTCACTAGCTGAGGAGTGAGAGATAATCAGCACACCACAAATATGCTTGCAATGCAGTCATATATGAACAGTATGTGTGTGTAGTAAAACATATGTCTTACCTGTTGTCACGGTGGTAATCCTGGTCATAGTCACCATCTTCATAGCTGACCAGTTCAAGGTCTTCTTCATACGCCTCAGGCTGATAGTGCAAGTGGCTGACCCTAAAAACATGGGAGTCAATTAAAGATCATAAATGTAAAGAAAGAGAAATACTAACATGCAGATGCATAGCAGGTATAATGTGCATCAACTAAGTTTAGCATGTTAGCATGCTACCTGTAGCCTTATTGATATTGAATTTTTTAAGACAATATTTCAGAGTTTGAAAAAATCTGAAAACAATACAACAGCAGACAGTAAGTTTTTTGTTTTTTTTAAAGAACTGTAACCAAGTTACAAACAGCAGTGAGCAGGACATTTTACAGTTGAAAAATCAACGTTATCTGATGGACAAAGGAGGTAAAGGAGACACTGTTTCTAAAAACCTCAAAACTAGTTTGGCATTTCTGTTTTGTAATTTCTTATTTATGGTAATCTCTACTACCAATAAGCAATAAGCAAATGCTGGAGAATATTGGGCTAGCTCTAATTTACTAATATGTCTATTTACTAATAAGCATGAAACCCAAGGAGTACACAAGTACAGAGAATGTGAATGTCAGTGTTGCAGTTATTTGGTTATAAACTAAAGCACTGGAGAAATACATACAGTATTTTTCTCCAGATCAAGCTAGTGAAGGTGTTTCAGTCAAAACCAAAAATATTTTGTGATCTACATAATTATAGGAGTTCCACTGTATCCAGTAGATGTTGAGGTCTTTATGGTGCTGAAAAATAAAAAGTCAGGGGATCACCAAAATCAATGGATGTCATTCTATGGGGATCATGAATATCTGCACAAAATGTCATGGCAATCCAATATATAGCTGCTGAGATACAATATTTCAGCCTGGACCAAAGTGGTGGACCACCAAAATGACTGACTGACATTGCCATCCCTAGTGCAAGGCAGAAACAATTTGATCCCATTTTGTGGAAGGTGTCTTTACTTGCCCATCTAGGAACCTAATTTTTCTTAAAAACAACAAACAAAAACAAAAGATAACTATATGAAAACTCGATGCTAACACATTGAATGTTTTTGTGACTTCAGTCCAGTACTGACGTTAGTACTCTTCCCTCACCCCAGCAGTGAGAATATCATCATCTCTCACACTCGCAGCTCAGCTTGTGGGATTCATATCTTCCCACTTGATTCTCACACATACTGTGTATATACAGACAGATGGCAGCAGCCTCTAACTTTACTCTCTCTGCCCCACTACCCATAAGCTCTTATGTGGTCTCCTCTGATCCACTAGATCTGCCTTTCTTTAGACCTCCATGTGGACTAAAGAAATGGATTTAAAAACAACAACAACAACATGCTGATTGTTTTGCCTCATGCAGTCATCTCTCTTTGACCCTGCCACATCCTGGTATTATTACAAACCCAGCAGGTCATGTTCTGTGCTTTCTGGGGCTTTTTCCATGGAAATGTAACATATGATATTATATGTGGAAGTTTTTTGGGATTAAAGTGACAATGACAGAGACGTAATGATGACTAATGAAGCAGCTTCAATTAGTTAAAGAGAGATGAAAACAGGCAGGAGTAATGAGACAAAGAGGGCATAGCGACACATGAAAAAAAGTTAATAAAGAAAAGGATAGTACAGAAATAAACATGGGCCACACTATCAGAGTGAATTTTACATCAAATCAGGAGGACAGGGGTGATATGGAAAATACATAATAAATGGTATAAAGTAACTGGAAGGACAGTGTGGAGCGGATTAGAACAGGGCTCAGGCCTGACGCTTTGTTAGCAAGAGACAAGGCAACAGAGCCCTTAATTGGCTGAGCACCACTGGATACAGCGGGGATGCCAAGTACAAGCAAAATACTGTCACATCACTTCACAATAACAGCCCTTTCTGCACACAAACAGAATGCAGTGAATAAACTTGCATTACAAAAATCATGTTAATTTTGTCTAGAGCAGCAAAAGCAAAATCAAATGAGGAGAGAACTAAACAAGTGCAGGCAATGTGGGTGTGGGAATTTGAATTTTAAGAATAACTCTGCTAAACTAGAAACAGTGAGTCAAAAAAGAAATGCCATTTCAGATAAAGCACGTGCTGTATGTTGGTGGTAGTACTCATTTCATCATCGTAAAAAGAGAGAACATCTAACTTTTGAATATGAGTGCACACAGGGACACGCACACATATCACCCTGCAGTATACAATTGTATATCTGCCTCTCTACTTTTTCAGGTAAGCAGAATCTTCTTACTGCCCTACTGTCCAAATACAGATGAAACAAAGAATCTGAGAAACAACATTAGAGTGATTTATGGTCTTTTCTTAGCCATAGTCTTTCAGGCTACACACAGGCTGCAGCCTAATCACCAGAGAGGAAGCATATAAACACTAGTTTGGGCTGAAAAAGTACTGGTAAACCCCCTGTCTGCTCTTTAAAAAAGCAAACATGTAACTGATGTCTTTTAATATGAGTTAATATTCTACTCAGAAGATGCCAGAATAGAATATCAAATGAATATTAAATATGAGATATGAAGGTCAGTGCTACTTGTAATGAAAATGCACATGAAAGGAGTCTCCAAAATCAAAAACTAGGTGTGATAATAATACAGGTATGATAGTAATACAGAATTTACACCTCATTTATTTCATTCCTTTATTGGAGCACCATGAATTGGGAAAAGAGTGAAATGGAAACTTTTATGAAAATGAATGTGACTGGTAAAATACCAGAAACACACTTTATTTTTAATTGAAAAAAAATAATTTCTTTATTAACATGGATCTCTAAAACCAAATAAGTTGAAAAAAATCACATGGATGGGGCCTTTGCATTTACAGTACTTGGTGAATTTGCATTTCAAATTTTAAGTTGATTTTCCTAAAACAAAAAGGTTCATTTTACCTACTAGTGTTTTGCCTCTCTCTAGAGTTGTGAATGAAACACATTGCCAAAAAGAACAGTTTAACAACAACTGGAACTATGGAGTGGTCCCCATGCTCAGTCATTAGTGATAAGTCAACTAATTCGACATCCTGTCTCTACTTTTTTAAATGATGCCATGCCAGTATGTTGGGGACATCTCTCCAGCCCAGTCATGGTTAAGACAGTGTCCCTGTTAGGCTAATGAGATAGTGTCCCTGTATTTAATGGCGCCCTAGTGAGGCAAAAGGATCCCTAGTCCAGCAACTGTCCCTGGGACTGTGGCCAAGGCCCTCCTCTGGGCTGCAGCACAAAGTAGCACAGCTTATTCATATCCCCATTTAGGCAGCCACTCTAATTCTGAAGGACCGGATAGACCTCCATTGCTGCAGACAGTTGCAGTTTGTTATTATGGAGGGATGTAGGTGGAGGTAGGATTGATTACTGCTCATTTGAAGGCCACAATATGCTAACCCCTGGACATAGGAACACAGCTTAACCTTAAATAGCGGATTAATTTCTCTAAAGTATTTTTTCGTATATTTGTCTGAAAATTATATCAATAATTTAATGTAAAGTATCAATAATCACTGATTTTCTCGTTAAGAGATTAACCACATTTAAACTAATTGTATTACAGTTTATGTATTAACCATCATATACAGCTTTAAACATCACTACATACAAGGTCTAAAACCCTTCTGAGCCATAATAACGAAATTAATAACAAAGCTTACTCAATAAAGAGAGGGAGTTTAAACTTTTTAGATATTTTATATAGATTTAAAGGGAGTTACAGCATGGCAGTAAGCAATCAGGCAAAATATCAAAATCATCAACAATCCTTGTTTAATTAGCTTACAACTACTATTTCTAATCGTCAATCTAAGTCATTATACTTATTAAAATCATTATAGTTGAGCTCTGAATCATTGAAAAAAGTCAGAGTCTCTCACTGATCACCAGTCCTCAGTTAGTTCGAGTTGGAGGTTGTGGCATTTAGTTGAAAACCATTAATCCCTTGTAGATTCCCTCTGGGTAGGGATTCAGATATTCAGTGCTGGAATGTGGAGTTTATTGAACAGTTCAAACTGTCGTTGACCTCCCGCTCCAGGTAGCGGCTATGTCTCTTCGGTTGTCTCCCATCGCAACTGCGATGTTGGAGGTTGTAGCATTTAGGAGGTTGTGGCTGCTCATCAAAAACATAAGATCCAGGGCTACCTGCAGAAAGGTACAGGAAGAGAGATAGGACATATTATGGGAGAGAGGAGACACACAGTTAGTGATGCATAATGGTGGCATATATATGCAAAGACAGCAGAGAGGAGAAGGAGGAGAGGGAAGGGAAGGAAAGGGGAGGGGAGAGGAGAGGAGAGGAGAGGAGAGGAGAAACTCAGAGCATCATGTGACCCCCAACAGCCTAGGTCTATAGCAGCAAAACTAAGGGAAGGCTTAGGGTCACCTGATCCAGCCCTAACTGTAAGCTTTTATCAAAAAGGAAAGTCTTAAGTCTAATCTTAAAGGTAGAGAGGGTGTCTACCTCCTGAACTGAGACTGGGAGCTGGTTCCATAGGTGAGGAGCTTGATAGCTAAAGGCTCTGCCTCCCATTCTACTTCTGTGGACTCTAGGAACCACAATTAGACCTGCACTCTCAGAACAAAGTGCTCTGTTGGGATGATAAGGATCTACAATGTCTTTAAGATACAATAAATTACAAGTCATCCAAGCCTTTATGTCTTTAAGACATGCTTGAACTTTGACTAACTGATCTGATTCATCTAGGTTCATAGATAAATATAACTGAGTATCATCTGCATAGCAATGGAAATGTATGTCATGTTTCCTGATAATATTGCCTAAAGGGAGCATGTATAAAGTGAAGACAACTGGACCTAACACAGAGCCCCATGGAACGCCATGACTAACAGCAGTCTGCGTGGATGATTCATCATTCTTCTTCTTGTTTTGGCTGTTCCCATTAGGGGTCGTCACAGCAAATCATCTGTTTCCACCTAACTCTATCCTCGACATCCTCTACTCTCACCCCAATTAACTTCATGTCCTTCATGTCCTTTAGCACATCCATATATCTCCTCTTTGGCCTCCCTCTTGACCTCTTGCCTGGCAGCTCCACCTCCAACATCCTTCTAC